AGCAGACTGACCTATGAAAACACAGCGAGTGTGTTTTTCTCTGGAGCTGCAGCACGGACGGCTTCACACAGCTCCCATCCTCGTACACTGCGAGGCTTAATTACAGTGACACATGGATATCCACGGCATGCCAGCTGATATTAATGATAACAAGTGCACATTTCTCTAGAAGGAATCTATTTTGTGTTGGATTCCTTTTTTTTACAGAAAGGTCAGAAGTCAGGGACAGTTAGCTACTTTCCACCCCATCACTTTGAAGTGTGTGTCCCTTGTAAATGTCAGGTTCTGTGCATGTTTAACACAGTTGGGTTCTACATGAGCCTTTAGGCTGGTAAAGAGAGACAGAAGAAGAAGAAGAAGGGATAGAGAGAGGTGTGCCTGTCAGCGGGGCTCCTCGTGCTCCAGTTTGAAAATAGTAGCTCAGGGAGAATAAGCCCCTCTCGCAAGAGCCATGAACATAGGGAGACACTCGTAGCGCTATAGGGGAGCTACATGCTAATGCTCACTAGAGGCAGGAGACCTTCAGTCAGGGACAATTACATGCCTACAACTGACACAAAAACACACTGAGTAACGGGACAATAAGCAGTCTGAATAGGGATGCGTTTCCACTTTTCTGTCCTACACTGTTTGTTTATTTGTTGTCATCTCACTCATGAATAAGTCAGTTTCATAAACCCTTTAATACTTTCCTTTAAAGGGGACCTATCATGCAAAATGCACCTTTGGACGTCTTTTATACATGAATATATGTCCCCGGTGTTCCAGGGAACTCACCAAGTGTCAGAAAACACAACCCTCTCTATTTTCCTCCTTCGCCAAATCTCTAAAAAAGTGGCTGAAACGGATCTGAAAAAAACGGATCCAGATTTCAACACTTTCCTACGTCACAAAGAGACGTGCTCCGCTTATTGGTCAACTCTCCACCTATCAGGGGAATGAGCCACGGCCACGTGCATTGCCGGGATCAATACCAACCATCCGGGAGGTGTTTATGAACTTCTCTCAAGTCCAACACGGATATGCCTCCAAGCTAATGCTAAACCCGGGATCAATACCAACCATCCGGGAGCAGGCCAGTGAGGACACATCCAATTATGAAGCTGTAAGTTTTTATTTAGCGGTGTTTTTCCTGATAAAGCTATCTCTAGCTTGTAGTATGTAGCATGTAGCATGTAGCTTCGCCGTATCAATGTCGCCTCAAACCCAAATAGTAATCGGTTAGGTGTTTATATGTTTTTATAACATTTTATATTGTACGCTCCGCAGTCTTTGTTTGTCTTTTATTTTAATTATCAGGCATTTGCTAACATGTTCAGTCATACTGCCGTAATGGCGATCTGTGTGAAGGCTGTAAAGCCACGCCCTAGCCGATAACACAAGTATTTATTCTCCTATTTATTAGTATTTTGTATCCTCTAAAATCATATTGAGTAAGTTATAATAACAAACGTAATCTTCTGTAGGTAAGTGCCGTTTTTTGCAGCGTTATATGTAAAGACTTTTGTGATTGTAGTCTGTAAGAACGATCAGATATCATCGATCTGTAAGCTAAGCTACGCTACGCTAATGAGACATGCCGTTTTTTGCAGCGTTATATGTAAAAGCTTTTGTGATTGTAGTCTCTAAGAACGATCAGATATCATCGATCTGTAAGCTACGCTACGCTAATGAGACATGCCGTTTTTTGCAGCGTTATATGTAAAAGCTTTTGTGTGTTTAATTGTTTGCGCACATGAATATAAATGGGGGTGTGTGAGGATACAACACTGTGTGTATGTATGCGAGGGGGGACGGACACACACCACGAGTAAAACGGAGCTAAAGCCCCGTTGGTATGTTGTTGTTGACAAGGCCTTACCTAGCAACAGGCTAATTAGTGGCTAGCACTCATTACAGTCAGTCTACTGAGCTCAGCCCCTCTCCAACACATCATCTGTATTGAGTCAGAAACACAGCATGCACGTTACGGTTCAAAACTAACTCAGATTGGAAAAGGCTAAGCAAAGAGCTTTGCTAAATAGAGAGTTTTAAGCCCCATCTTTTGGGATTTCAGACTATATTTATCCAAATAGTATTTTCTCATCCTGAATACTAAATTGAGATGATTTTGTTCTAACTATGTTTTCTTCTTTACAGGCCAGCACCTCACATACTTACTAATTAGTGACAATTTGTACATCCTTTGCTATTATTTACATTTTTTTGTATCATGGCGGAAATGAAAGACTGTACCTGGCAGCCCTGCACTACAATGAAAACGCTGAGCGTGCACAAGCCAACATCCACTGGAAACCCTCTGTATAAACTGCAGTTCCCAAAGGCCAGGAAGGGAGAATGCAGAGCAAAACCAGTAAAGACTGACCCCACATTCCGTAAGTGTTTAAAATATTTATTATACAACTATTTACAAATATAAAATTAGAAAGAACTTTCAGTTTTTTACATGCATATACTAATCTAAACCACATTTTTTGTTGTGCTTTTTTTTTAACATTGCACAGGCTACGTGGCCAACTTGATGGACCTCATCTTCGACCAAGTCTTTGTGGACCCTGCACCATTATGAGCGACCTGACAGGGACGAGGTCATCGCCGGGTATGCTACACGGTTCAATTTGGCTGCTGTCTGAACCCAACATCGACATTTTGCGGATCAGGAAACTCCTGCCTCCTTGAGGACAACGCAGGCCGGAATCACCACTCTGATCCTGCGTCCAAGGAAGCCCCAGCACCAGCTCACAAAGCTTCTGTAGGCTAGATACCTGTGACGCCTGAAATCATTAAAAAATATATTTAGTGTAATTTATACAAAATACAAGTACATTTAATTTTTTTTTATGGGTTCAAAGAACCGTTGATTTTGACAATAAAGTTCAGAGTTGATATCAAATGTGTCGTGATTATTCATGTTTGGATGGGTAAAGAATATTCTGATTTCAAAAGCATAAGGTTGTGTGTGGACTTTTTTTGTCGTACACATGGGTGTGTTATGCCATTGCTGTGTAATAATATATATATATATATATATAATAGTACATGTACAATGAAAGATTGCATAAAGCCATATACACCAGTATTTATTTCCATGAACAATATTAGCATTCGTTTTACAATTTCAGTCAAAAGAAACAAACCACTCACTGCTCTATTTGCCTCAACTGTAGTCCACCATGTTCAGCTCTGTAAATATTCAATGCATTCTGCAGGGAGAACACATTCAGGCACACAGGCTCCAATCCAGGATGGTCCACCATACAGGTTACAGAGTCCTCAAGTTCCTGCATCCGTCTTGACACCTAGTGTGATAAACATATTGAATGACATGTTAAAAATGCATTCTCTAAACAGACAACTTAGTGAAGCTATCAAAAATGTTACCTGTGGTATCTCTATGCAGCACACATTCTCCGGTTCAGAAGGCATCGTGGCGCAATTTGCACATGTACACCTGTAGAAAGAAGTCAATAACTGAGCTTTTAAAAACACATGAAACTACACACACTGCTGACAACTGAGGTGTTGTTGGAGTTATACTTTTTATCACCCTAAGTTATTGAACTTTCCAACGGTTGTTGCACGATGTTGGAAGAAAAGGGCTGTAAACTATTAATAAACGCAATGAGGCCATTGTATATATGCTGAAAATATGAATGTCTCCCTTTATAAATATATATATGTATCGCTGTTTTTGCGTTACAAGCTCTAAGTTATAAACTGTACACATAGCATTCTTGCTAATTAGCCAAAATATGAACGGTATAAGTAGCAATCATCGTAACAGAGTAAAATAAATAGGAACAACAGCTTGTCAACTTACCATTCAGAAACGTCCTGCTGCAACCGAGATCTTTGCACCTCCACCAAAACCTCCGCTGCTTCAGGGTCAGTCTCTGGATCAAATTGATAATACGCTTGAACACATGCATTGCTCTGAGATGACATGTTTATTCCACACTCGTAATCACAGCAAGCATGTTAACGTGACTCTCACCGACTCATGCCCCGCTCTTCTGCAGGGGGGCGTGGTCAGCTGCTGCTCAGAATTTTCAAAGACAGGCTTGGAAAAGAGCGAAAATGAGCGAAACGAGGCATGGCTAAAAAATGATCTGTTTGGTATTTTGAAAAATAAAATGTATAAATATACCTTATATAGGTATGGTCATACACTATATCATTTAAATATAGCATGATAGGTCTCCTTTAAGGGGACATTATGAATACATATGTTAAAGCTTGTGCACATTCATATGGGTATCTGATGTTCCTACAAACAAACGAGGTATGAAATAAAACAACCGAGTCATTAATTGTAGTTATATGTCAGCTGCCTACTGTAGGTACAAAAAAAAAAACATGGCAAATTAGTATTTTGTGTCTCTACATGTTTCCATGTTCAAAAAGCTCTTTACTTTCTCATACTGCCTGTGCTGCAGCACCTCTTTTCACCCTCTGTCTGAAACCAGAGTCCAGTCTGCTCTGATTGGTTAGCTGGCTGGCTTTGTTGTAATTGGTCAACCACTTAGAGATGTCCAGCCTATCATGTACAATGTGTTGGAGCGCTATCAATAGACGGAGTTGGAATGTTACAAAGTGATGTAACTATGTTCCGTAAGTAAACAAAGGAGTCCAATGGAGGTCTTTCAGGTGACCTCTTAAAATGCCACCATTTTAAGAGGTGGTATTAAAGATCCAGGAGCTTAAAAGCAGAGAACATTTCACCAAGTAAATGGTTCATCACAATATATTTAGGTCAGTGAAAGTAAGACAGACTGTGCCAGAATCTGTACCTCTCAAACTCAGTATGTTCCACATTTGCACAGCTTGTGTGTTGAATATGCTGATGTGCATCTCGCTTCCTTCTCGACTTTTCAATCTCGGGCCGATCAACTTTACGAGGAGTACAGATATCTGTAAACTACTCGCGCGCTGCACCAACCCCCAGACATTAAAATACACAATGATTACTTCCCATCAGCTGTTATTGATCGGGCTCTTACTTTTGACGGTGAGGTACATGGACTTGCTGACATCAGCTCCCACGTCGTTGCTGACCTTACACAGGTAGAAGCCGCTGTCGTCCTCCAGCACGTGTTTGATCAGCAGAGAGCCGTTGCTCAGCAGCGTCACTCGAGAGCCGCTGTTCAGAGGGATGGGCTGGAACTGAGGGACACCCGCACCTGGGACAGAAGCAAGAAACAAAACATTTTTAACATAAATAATGACAGAATAAGTATTTAAACAGAGTATACTATCGAAGTCTTGATAAAGTCCGTACAGCCTATGTTGAGTGGTGCAGTGATGACATATTTTAGCAAGCAATGGGATTTTGTAATACTGCAAAAAATGAGATATGTGGCAAATGCCTTTATGATGCCGACACATTTCGTTCAGCAGGAAATTCAGCATATCAATCTCTTCAGCTTGTGTTAATCAAAGACATAAAAGAAGCCATAGAGAATATGGAACAGGAAGTGGTAAAAACACATTTTCAGATTTCTAAGACTCATTCTTATACCAGTCTATATAAATCCGTAATTTTCAGTAGATAAAAACTATGTATAACACTAACACGGTATACAGTGCTTGCGGGTAAGCAGTGTGTGTTTGTGTGTACATTCATTTGACCATGCGTCTGTGTTTACAGATTTTATGACAAAGCCCGTCAGATTAAGCGAGGATTGTAAACATGTTTCTTAACACCAGGCCTAAATCCTTAAACCGCCAAGCAGCTGCTGAGCACAGGGAAACAGGCCGAGCTGCTGCTGTGATGCAATCACTACAGACATAATGCTCATGTTCAACAAGACAGCAGATTGGTGCAGAGGAACACCACGCAGAGAGCACAGAGGCCTCTCGTTGCTGCTGGCCTTCAGCACTGAGAGCCTCAGAGATGTGGCGAGTCGGTATTTATTTTGACCATTTATCCCTGTGTGTCTGGGTTTATTCTTATTTGTGTTATAACGACTGCCTATATGGCCTTGGACGAGGACAGACTAATCTCCTTAAGGCCTGGATATGATGACGATAATACTTCATTGTCAGATCAAGTTGCTTGCATCACAGCAGCTCCATTTACAACAGCAACAAGGACAAATATGAAGACAAGATACAGGGAAACAGACATTTAACAATCTATTACCATCACTGAAGACAGTGGGAAAAGTGTTTGTGATTTGACCACTGACTTTAATCTCAGAATTCAGACTTTTTCCTCAGAATTCAGACATAAACATCACTTTTGGTCAGATCCAACACTCTAACACACTCATGACCTGGTATTTAGCTCAAATTGTCTTTAAGCGTGAGACCCGGTATCTCCTATTTTTCTGGTTTGAGTTACTCTGCGGATACCAGCGGCCGAGATGGGTTTTCTCCGCAGGGTGGCTGGTGTCTCCCTTAGGGATAAGGTGAGAAGTTCGGTCATCCGGGAGGGACTCGGAGTTGAGCCGCTCCTCCTTCGCGTCGAAAGGAGCCAGTTGAGGTGGTTCGGGCACCTAGTTAGGATGCCACCTGGGCGCCTCCCTAGGGAGGTGTTCCAGGCACGTCCAGCTGGGAAGAGACCAAGGGGTAGACCTAGGACCAGGTGGAGGGGTTATATCTCTACGCTAGCCTGGGAGCGCCTTGGGATCCCCCAGTCAGAGCTGGTTGATGTCACCAGGGAAAAGAAAGTTTGGGGCTCTCTGCTGGAACTGCTACCCCCGCGACCCGACCACGGATAAGCGGGAGAAGATGGATAGATGGATGGATGGAGTTACTCTGCACATATAGTTTCCCAATTCTCCATAGCCCAATAGGACTGACACTTGATATCCATCACTGAAGCATCTGTGAAAGAATTGACTGGACATCTCTGACATATTCTGGCCTTCTGCCTGCGTGTAATTAATACCTATCTTTTTAATAGAGAATGATATCATCACTCTTGTTCTATTGTCAAACAATACAGTGTCTCATTCTGCAATGGTGGCATTTAAATCTATAGGAAATGTCAGTGACAATGAAAGCAAATGTCTGCTCCTATAGAGATAAAGCACTGTACTGCACCTCGCTCATGTAGTATTAAACACATGTGTGAACTGAGCCAGACGCTGCATTAGCTTGTGTTAAAGTTAGCGTGTAGAGATTAGGCTATTTAGTGCGCTGTGGGTTTTTGCTTTTTAATTAAAATGCAGTCAAGTGGCCGTGGCAAGCAAAGGGTCAAGTGGTGACTTTGTTCCTGCTCCCCTGGAGAGAAACAGAGCGAGAGAGAGATGTGTGTGTTCTTCCTTGAATTATGGATTTTGCATATCCAAATGGTGCTAGTCGTTATGCTAATAGTGGTTGACCTTTACTTACTGCTCCATATCTCCCAGAGACACTCATCTGGCGCTTAGCTAGTGAAATCATGCCAGACAGCCATTCTCTGGACAAACTGCACACAAATTACACGATAGCTTCCCAAGCCACCTTCCCTGGATAGGATTTCTGTTGGAAGAGGATGGGGGGATGTTCATTGCCTCTGTGCTCTGACTGATTTCCTGCACGACATATTACAAGTCACCAGGAGAGATGTGAATACAATGTGGTAAGAATATGTGACTGCTGCAGCATGCGCCAACTGTGCGTGCTGCCTGCTGCAGTTGCTCCTGCTAGATTTTCAATATTTTCACAATAGCTTTCTGTTTTGATCTTACTTGTTATTTTTCTGTTAGTCATTTCTATTAACAACTAATCAAGCTGTGCCCTCTCTAAACTTTCTTCTAGAGATATTTAGTTTGTTGTTTTTGAGTTGCTAGTGTTGTGCATCTACGCCACTAAAACGGCATGTCTGCGTTGTTTACACCAGGGACAGCTGATCACACTAAAGCCAGCTAGCATGGTGGTCAGCATAACGACTATCCCCACTGAAATCTAGAGAAGGACACAGAGGATGTTGGATAAACGGAGAAGGAGATACAAGCCGTGTCTCCCCCCCTCCCCCCTCTCGACATAGGCGTTAGCTAAGAGTCAGACGGAATACATCGAGTGTAGTTTAATGGGCTTTAGGAAAAAAGCTGCACCAGGATATATGAGTCTTCCTCATGTCTTCATCATGAGCCTGAGTCTTCTTCATATCTTCATCATGAGCCTGAGTCTTCATCATGTCTTCATCATGAGCCTGAGTCTTCATCATGTCTTCATCATGAGCCTGAGTCTTCATCATGTCTTCATCATGAGCCTGAGTCTTCATCATGTCTTCATCATGAGCCTGAGTCTTCATCATGTCTTCATCATGAGCCTGAGTCTTCATCATGTCTTCATCATGAGCCTGAGTATTCCTCATGTCTTCATCATGAGCCTGAGTCTTCATCATGTCTTCATCATGAGCCTGAGTCTTCATCATGTCTTCATCATGAGCCTGAGTATTCATCATGTCTTCATCATGAGCCTGAGTATTCCTCATGTCTTCATCATGAGCCTGAGTCTTCATCATGTCTTCATCATGAGCCTGAGTCTTCTTCATATCTTCATCATGAGCCTGAGTCTTCATCGTTTGGGATTCAAAAAGTATTTTTGATGGATTTATTGATGAAGGCCTAATGAAACTGAGCCAAAAACGAACCTTCAGCCTGGCCAACTGAACCACTTCCTGCTGGATAGCTAAAGCTTGTTTTTAACGCTAGGATTGAGTAAACACACACACGCTCACACACACGCTCACACACACACACTGCAATGAGGCGACTAATCCCTCTGTACTGATCAGGACTGGTCAGACAGTACTAATCAAGCATCAGGCCTGTCTCTCATGCACGCCCGCACACACACATCCATTCAAAGAGTGAAAAACAGACATCATTCCTTTGATCATGGGGCCACGCACACTCACACACACAAACACGCAAACTCACGCACCACTCCTCATTGGTTGTTGTCCTTCTGCTGCGGAAGCTTTCATCCCTGGTTATATGGATGATGGAGCAACACCTGGGGCCCCTCTTCATCCGCCCTGCTCAAGTGGCTCCACTCACCTGCTGCCTGTCTGTCCGTCTGCTAACGCTCCATCTGTCTTTCTGTCTCTCACTCTCTGATGATTCTCTAATGGTGCAGGTGGAAACCCTGCAAGCCCCCAGAACCATGTATACAGAGCAGATGGCCGTGTGTTTGTGTGTTTTTACGTCCGTGCATCACACACATATCAGGCTCTGGATGAAGCAAATGGAAAACACTCACCTGCAAAAGCACTACTACTGCACTCGCCTTCATACACATTATGAAACACAACCTGAGACCAATGTGTGGTCCAGGCAGCTGCACACACTACTAAGCAAAAGCTCACCTATAGCAATACTTTTTTGTGACTTAATTTCAAATGATACTTCCTATGTATCTGCAGGTTTGCTTGCAGTAGGTATAATGCGTGCTGTGTTGGATGTACCTTTGGAGTGTTCCCATACGATGGTGGGTGGAGGGTATCCTTCAGCCGAGCAGTTCAGAGTCACAGTCTTCCCGTAGATCCCGTCCTGATCCTCAGGCTGCACCACAAACTGAGGGGGAACTACACACACACACACACACACACACACACACACACACACACACACACACACACACACACACACACACACACACACACACACACACACACACGTTAACAACTTTGCAAACTTATTTGACCCGAATACTTTTTTCTCTGTTCAAATCAAGTTACACAGAGATCATTTTAATAAAAGTTTTACACTAATCAGTTTTGAGAGCCTTTACACTTCCTGGATTAACTTAAATGTGTAGGCCCTGCCAAGTTAAAAATATCTGTTTAATCTACTAACATGACTTTAAGTAACTTCCTCAAATAATTGAAATCACCCAATTTCTACTGTAGTAATCTGCAACCTAGATTTCAAAAGTGACTTTCCCCACACTGTTGACACATGTTTTAGTTGTATGTATTATAGTCTTTGTGTGCAGATGTTCATACCAGTCACACAACATTAGTCCATTCTACCTTCAGCCAAACAGGAAGTGATAAGTAAGGTTTGGCATTTCAGGGATTACTTCAAATAAAAAAACCTGCTCACATACAACAAATGATAGAAGTCCACTAGGTTCCAGTAGATATTTAGACCCGATCCCAAACCAATTCCAAAATCTGTCCCTGTGTTCCCTTCTCACCTCTCACAATGAGCTGACTCTGGTGCTCCACGGCAGCCGCCTCGTTGCGGGCGACGCAGGTGTAGTTGCCGTTGTGGTCGGGCGTCAGGTTGGAGATGCGCAGCGAGCTGGTGAAGTCGATGTTGTCCACGGTTACGCCCAAGCTGATGGGGATGGGACGCCCGTCCTTCTGCCAGGTGATGTCCAGAGGGCGGTCGCCCGACATGACCACGCAGGGGATGAAGACGCGCTGCCCGATGGTGAAGCGCTGGAACTCAAAGGGCTGGATGTAGGGAGGGACTGACAGAGAGGAGGAGACACAGAGATCAAAGTCGTGAGCAGGTTTAAAAGAGTAACGGGATTATGTAATCAGGATGCAAAAAATATACCTGTAATCCCTTACTGTTATGTTCAAAAGATGTAATCAGTTTACTGCTACATTTCTAAAAACGGGGAATCACCTGCAGATTCCAATGTTAGTAAAAAACTAAAAAGGGCATATAATGTGTGTTGTAAAAGGGTTTTATTTGTCCTCTGTAAGCTGTTCTGTTCTGAAGGCTAATACTTTAAGTGCGAATCTATACGCCTACTGCCTGAATCTGCTTTATGGTTTTCACTTTCTTTGGTTCATTTGTTCTGTTTTTAATTCAGCAGGTGAACCTATATGTTATAAAATAGTGTGTGTGAGATTAACTATATGTATTAAACTAAAACGGAGCATTTTCTGTCAGCTCAGATTTTAACAGAAAGTAATCGGGTTACTTTTATATTGTGATACTCAGATAAGATCAAATTGTTGTAAAGGTAACTAGTTATTGTAAATAGATATAAATAAAAAGACCCTCACACAAAGGTGGGCAGCTGTTGATCTACGTAGTAAATGAATCTGCTAATTCCCAGTTACAGAGTAATGAAGGCTGTAGCAGTGATATTACACAGTGACTGATCTTACATCTGTAAAAGGTAATACTTAAAAAGGGCTTCCCCATTAGGGCCCCCTCCCCTCCCCCTGTACAGTATGCTATATTACACTTTCCACTGGAGGGAGGGGAACAGAGGGGGAGGGCTGAAGAGAGTGCCATGATATAAAGCAACACTTCCCAGCGGTGCTATAGAGAGCGAGTGCATTTGTTAATTTACTCTGCTCATCCTTAAAATGCGCAAGTGTCTTTGGGGATCCCCGGAGTCCATTATCTCCACTTTGTTGTGAATTAAATAAGGTGCTAAAGTGCTGCTGATTTCACTGTTAGTTGAACTCACTGGACACTCACACACAGCTGGAGATTTCCCTCTGAATGTAGAGCAATCTGTTTGAATAGATCTAATTGTATTACCGTGTTGTTGTATTATGCATACAGTTTGACTCTGAACACACTCTGGATAAGCGCTATTCCTGTCATCAGGGGTTTGGATGAGTGGATAAAACAGTAGATTGATGTAGTAAGCAGTGTTGGAAAGTAACTCAGTACTATTTTGACACAATTGTACTTCACTTGAGTGATTCCATTGTATGCAAGTTTATGCTTCTACACATGTCAGAGGCAAATATTACACTTTTTACTCACAACATTTATTTAACACTCATAGTTACTGTTACAGCCGCAGCCTCCACTAACAGTCCTGTGAGTTTCTGTATGATTGTTAGCTGTGCTGCCCCTTAGTTGCCATTGTGCTGCGTTGTCCCGCCCACTTGAAGCTTAGAGGATCCCGATTGGTCCGACCCTCAAATCCTGACACACACCTTCAGACGGAGCCTATCTGCATCAGCCAAACAGCTCGCTGCACCCTCGCTGCGAGGGGGACCAAAGTTCCCATCAGCAAAAACACGTGGGTTTGCTATCCTGGCTCCAAGATGGTGGAATGAGCTCCCCATTGACATCAGGACAGCAGATAGCTTACACATCTTCCGGCGCAGAGTGAAAACTCATCTCTTTCGACTCCACTTCGAGCGATAGAATTACTAACAAAGCACTTTTATACTAATAAAGGACTGGCTTATCTAAAGCCAGTTGAGTAGCACTTTAAATGTTTGGCTCTATGAAGCCTGATGTACTTATATGATTCTGTTTTCTTCAAGTTTGTATCTTGTTGGTCGAACGCACTTATTGTAAGTCGTTTGGATAAAAGCGTCAGCTAAATGTAATGTAGGCCGTGGATGATGGTCATTCCAGAGGCTGAATCTTTGTCAGAGTTTCGTACTATTATCTGCTAACTTTGGTTAACCCTCTGACTTGTTTGTTTAGCCTGTGTAGTCTATTAACTTTGTTTAACTTGTCTTTCTGATTGGGCCAGGATGAATTCACACCCACACCTTTACAGAGTATTGTATGTATGACATTAGGTGCCAGGGTGGCTGTGTTGTACTTTTGTTAACTGATATACATGTATCACTAGAGTAGTGAGGTGTTTTCTGATCGATTACGCTCCGAACCTGATCTCAGGGGTGTGGATCATATTTAGCTGCATGGTACTGACCTCTGACGCACAGGTGCACGCTCTGGGAGTCCATCTTGTTGGGTTGGACCATCACTTTGCAGTTGTACTCGCCGGCGTCCACTTGCTGCACGTTGGTCAGCTTCAGCGTGCCGTTGTTCTCGAACGCTCGCTGCCGGTGGTTGAACGGCAGCAGTGCAGAGTTCTTGTACCACTTTATAGAGTAGTAAGGGTAGCCAATCACACGGCAGTGAATGAACGCGTCTCGTCCAGCGATCGCCGTGATGTTTTTCATCGGGCGGATGTTGGCTCGGCCTAAAAGAGGGACAGAGAAGGGGAAAAGATCCTCTATAAAGACATTCGGTGGAAGGTGAATCGAATCACATTGGCTTTATTTTTGGTGTTTTTGTAAATAAAATACTTTCCAAAATGAATTTAAACAACTGCTAGACACAAAACATGAAACAGAACATTTCCCTCTACAGCTTCACGTATTAAACCTGCCACTAAAATATTAATACACGCAAAATAAACTCTTTTAAACAAGATGTTAGGCTTAACTGTGAGCAGAAGGCGGTAAAGTGATTAAAGTGTGCTCGCCGTCTGCAGGAAAACATTTAGATAACGCTGCTCCTGCTGTTTACCCACATCACTGTAATCTGCATTCTGCGCCTCATAAAATGGAAATAGAGTAATCGCTTTAACATCAGATCGTGAATGGGCTGCTTGAGTAAACACACGCAGAACGAAACACACACACACATCCGCAGATAAATGCATTCATGCAAATAGAAAGTCATATCTTTTTCTTCCGGCTATTTCGAAACCAGCCCATTTTGGAAACCCAATATCCAGATATGTGCAGCAAGCCGGGGGAATTCATTTGACCTAAAAATACAGGCATGTAGGAAGTGATCACTCGGAGGGGAAAAAGTTCGATTCCAAAAAATAAGATTAAGGCAAAATCAATCGGTGTAAATGTGATTAGGAAGTTAATAGTAAAGACATTTATCACTTGATTTCGTGGTCAAATCTACTCAAAACAAGAACGTAAGGCCTTTTTAATTTGCCAGCTTTAAAGATGACAGTGTCGTTCTGCCCATCATGGGTCAACTATTGTATTGTAGAGATATTCATATGCCCCTCTAGGTGACTGTAATAACATTTGGTTATCCTTAAAAATATGGATTTAAGAAGTTAAAGTGAGAAAAAGCGTACAAAACATGATAAGATATAAACAGACGACTGATGATTTTCTTGTAGCTCTGACTAAAACTGTGCTCCTATCCGTATGGCGCACACAAATGAATGTCACTAGCCTGTTAGCTTGTTAGCTAGCTCGCAACTGCCTGCCCTGAATCACGGGAGTGACAATCGCGCCTTTTGTGTTTTAAATATAAAATTCCTAACACCCTTTTTAATTTCAGACAAAAACCAGCACTCATTTCCTGAAAGCACCAGACAGACAGCTGGACAGACAGACACAGACAAACACACAGAGAGACAGACAGGTATGTGTATTGTTGTTCTTGGAGGAGCTGATTTGACAAGCACCTCTTACGTTTATTCGAGCCTGGTGGTACACGAGCCCGGCCGAGTTGCTGCACGTGCACCGGTACACCCCCCCGTCCTGCACCTGGGTGTGCGTGACGTTCAGCTGGCTGACCACGTGGCCCTCGTGGGTCTCGTAGTGGCCCAGGTGGTGGTGGGAGTCCTTGATGACGGGGTCGTCGTCCAGAGACCAGGTGCAGCGGGGGGGAGGCGTGCCCTTCACGTTGCAGACCAGGAAGACGGGCTCGTTGGGGTTCACCACCTTCTCGCTGAACGAGGCCAGGATCTTTGGAGTACCATCTACACCCGGGGGGGGGGGGGACCGGAGAGTGAATGAAGATGTTAAACTGTAGTGTTGCCCCCTCATAGTCCATCAAGTTGGCTCAAAAAGGTAAAGTCAAGCAATTTTTTCGATTAGTAACGATTAATCACAAGTTTAAAATCCTTGTACTTGTTTTTTGGGGGGAGTTAATGAAAGAAGGGTGTTGTAATCAGGAGATGAATAACTAACTGGTGGGTTTTTTACTTTATTATACATGATTTCTGAATGATTGGCATGAAATCCGACACAGTGTAATACTCTTGTGCTGATTCCTCATTTTTGTTTGGTCTTTTTTTAACTCCCATGCATTTCATGGTAAACATCCCTTGCTGGTGGAGCGGGAGCAACTTTGGCTCACACTTGGTAGTGTGATTAATTTGTGGTTTCCAGATGAATCACCCGTATTAACTGTAGTTACTGTAAGGGGTCAATCCGTGAAATAAAACAAAAAACACTTGTTTTGTGAATGACAGTGACCCTTTCCATTTGCTTCTGAAACGTGTACAGTATGTCTGCCTGCTGCTGCTCTCTGATCATCTGGATCTGTTCCACATGATTATAGATATGATTTCATTTGATTTGGATGGTACTTCATTTGAATAATTTGAATGTTTTTTTGTTATCTTAATTTATTTTCTATTTCTATTTGTATTACATACACTATCTTGTATTTTCATTTTACTGTAACTCCATCATTTACAATGTTATTTATTTTAATCTGTAAAGCCCACGTGTTTTGTGATATTGGGCTACACAAATAAAGATTGATTTGATTATCAATATCTCCTTTCTACAGCTCCCAGACCATAGGATACAGTTGCCTGAGCAACGCTGCCAATGTGAGCTATTGGATTTGTGTGTGTGTGTGTGTGTGTGTGTGTGTGTGTGTGTGTGTGTGTGTGTGTGTGTGTGTGTGTGTGTTGTGTGTGTGTGTGTGTGTGTGTGTGTGTGTGTGTGTGTGTGTGTGTGTGTGTGTGTGTGTGTGTGTGTGTGTGTGGTGTGTGTGTGTGTGTGTGTGTGTGTGTGTGTGTGTGTGTGTGTGTGTGTGTGTGTGTGTGTGCGTGTGCGTGTGCGTGTGTGTGTGTGTCTAATGGTGGAGAGTCGCAGGAGGACGCCCTTAACACAAAAACCCCGTATCGATCTCTTGAATCTGTTTCTGCTCACTCACAGCTGCTACAGTTCTTCTGCTCAGACTGCTCTGCAAACATGAGTTTATTTGCTTACTGACATTAGTTACAGGAGAAATGTTGAAGCATATTGTTACATGATTTAGCTCTAAATATAAGGGTAATCATTCTGTTTTACTTTGAAATGTTGACAGGAAATGCTTTTATTTTGAAGTGCAAGGAAGTATCCTGCTCTGTGTTTTTCCAGGTTAGTTGATTGATGAAATGAATACGAGTTGTGGAGTGCATGATTCCCAGTGTACTAGTGTTCTTGTTGTAAACTGCTGGAATAATATACAGTAAAATATTCAGTTTGGACTAGATCTGCTTTGTTCACTATTCAAAGTTCCCACAACATAACACATTCTTCTATTTTTTAAATATCCTTTTTTAAATGCAGTTGATTGACACCTGATTTAATACACAAAAAGACTGTTTGCTTTTCATTCATGTATTAAACAAAAATAGCACTTCTTAACTATACAACTATACATATCATTTTGTATCCTATATTATTTTCTTAGGTTACATTGTGGTGTTGTCTTACATTATACACCTAAGTAAAAAACATCGTATTGATATTCTTTTTATCTTGGATTTGTTTGCCTTGCATTTGAAATTGAGGTAATCCAGAAGTAACAGAAAGTAATCAGATTACATTACTTTTGTTATGATTCTTACTTTAGTGTGATTGTGATTCATCGTCATACTAGATTAGATTGCTGAATACATTTTTAAGGTAACCCTCCCAACCCTGCTGTAAGTACCGTGCTGACCTTCGAGGATGACTTGCACGAAGTCCTGTGCAGACATCTTGCCTTTCCTGGCGAAGCACTGGTACGCCCCCCCGTCGCTCTTGGACATGCCCTCCATGATGAGGCTCTCCCGGTTGAGCCCGGTGAAGCGCACGTTGTTGCCGGGGTAGATGATCTCCCCGTTGCGGTACCACGACAGCTCGTACTCGTCTGATCCGCTCACGCTGCAGGACAGAGACACCTTGCTACCCACGCTGCCTTTCACCTTCCGGGGGCTGACCACCGCCTTCAGGGGCTCTGGAAAAACAATGCGGCATCTTTAAGTTAAGCAAAAATGCCAAACATTTCAAGTCAAAGTCAACTTTATTGTCAATCTTTCAGTTTGTGTGTACAGACAGAGAGATCGAAAAACCGTTTCTCACAATCCCGAATACAAAAACAAATATATATAAAAATATGTATGCAAATATGTATATATGCTTACGTTTGATGTACAGGCGCCCCATGACCTCAGCGTTGCCGTAGCTGTTCCACACTTCACAGACGTACGTCCCGGAGTCACTAGGCTGCGTGCTCTCGATCAGCAGCCCGGTGATGGTCTGTCTGAAGCGGTTGTCGGGCTCCAGAGGGCTGTTGTCCTTCAGCCAGCGGTATTTGGGCGTTGGGTACCCTGAGGCCTTACAGGGCAGCTCCACCCGGTGATTGATCGTCACCTCTCTGTGGTCAAAGCCATCCAGGATGCCCGGCTCAGCATTGGTGGGGTCTGGGAGTAAATAATAAAGCTTTATTTATATAGCACTTTTCATACAACTCGTGCAGATCAAAGTGCTTTACAAAATGACACATCACAAGGTAAAAACAAACAACAAGAAATTCCCCTCAGATTATTTGTTAAGAACTTTAAAAAGGTACATGCAGCAAAATATAAAATGTTATCAGATAGACACAAGGAGGTCAAATGTATGATAAGAAATGAAATACATTTCTCTCTGACAGATAAGACACAAGACAACTGAGTCGATGCAACAATATAAAATATAAAACCCCATAAAACAAGTGAACATATAGGTACAACAGAAATAACACCTATAAAATAAATAAAACAATCTAAAGGTAGGTAAATAATAAAGACTAAAAGAACATTTCAAGTGGGGGGTCGCTAATAAAAAGCAAATGTAAAAAGATGTGTCTTTAACTGGTGTTTACAAATGTCCACTGAGTTGAGAGAGAGTATAGGGTTAATAAAGTTGGATGAGTCCAAAAACGCAGAACTGACTGAGCACTTCCTGTTCCATCGTCTTAAAGTCAAGGGTTTCTTTAATGAATTGTTAACATCTATGTGAGGAGAATCTATGGCATTATCTACAGTAAGATTTCAATACTGTTGTCCTGTATGTTATTGCAATAAAACTGATCCCAGTCTGAATGAAGTCCTGACCTGACACGATGAGACGGGCGCTGTTGCTCTGGCGCGTCTCGCCGGTGTAGCGGTGGCGGGTCGTGCAGCGGTAGTTATTCAGCCCATCCTCAGGCAGGACGTCCAGAATATACAAGGCTCCTGTGGATGTGATGAGATATCTTTGCCCTGGGAAAGACAAAAGCAGAGCGAGAGGAAACACATGAGGCAGCAGTCGTGTGATTGTAATGTAGGATCAAAACAACTTGTTACACTATAAAGCATTTATCCAGCCCGCCACAACAGAAGGATTTCTTTCTCCACAGGGTGTTCAGTTTCACAGCGCACAAAGCCTTTAGAAGTTATTTTATATTTCTACATGAGATAATCATCGCTTCTAGAGTCATAAAGATGGCATGGTTGTGGGGAAGCACGCACCCTTCTACACTCTCTATGTCTGGCTGCAAAGGTCTTGTGGGATGTAGTTGGAGATACACTCTCTGAGATCTAGAACATGGAAGTCCAGCTACATGCTCGCTGGTCATCCCGCCCAATTCTAGCATTGATTTCTCAACCAAACACATTATTCTCATGAACTGAAAAGTCAGAAATGCCAACTGTTTCAACTTAAAGAGTGAGACTGACACGTTTAGAGCAGCTAGCCTCACCAATGTTTTTGTGCTAATGTAAATGATTGTGTTGAAATCACCCAGAGAAGAGGGATCCATGAATTGCATAATTGCACAAACTGTCCTTGTTGTAATCCTATAAATGTCTGCCCTCTAACAGCCTCTATTGTCTCGTCTCTTGCCGTTGTGGTAACCTCAGTGGCGCCAATGCCTAGTGCACAGAGCCGATCCCTCTCTGGCTGTCACTGCCACTTCACTATGTGGGGTAATATTATGTTAATGCTGCAGATCAAACCAGGCTGAGTGGGGTTGTCAACATCCATAAGGAGAGAAACCTTCCTCTCCACCATCACATGAATGCCCACAGTCCCAAGGGAGCAGATTGATGTCAAAACTGATCGAAAAAGCAATTTACAGGAGATTGTCTTCACTGCACAGTGGTGGGCACGCTAAGACAGAGGAAGCTTAAGAAGGCATGAGGACGGAGAACCCTGTAACTGATAACTGAGGGCGTCCAGAAGAGGTTCAGAATCAGAGTCAGGTGTATTGCTGTGTTCATTTTCACATACAAGGAATTTGCTTGTTTATGCAGCATACAAAAAAACCATTAAGAAAAACGTAAGATGCCCCCCTGCCTGAAACGCCTCAATTGGACTCCTCTGTTTTCTTCCGGAACATAATGACATCACTGTGACACTTGCGCTTCTATTGGATAGCGCTCCAACACAATGTATGTGATAGGATAAGGGGCGTGACATCTCTAAGCGGTAGACCAATCACACCAGAGCCGGCCAGCTAACCAATCAGAGCAGACTGGGCTCTGGTTTCAGACAGAGGGTGAAAAGAGGTGCTGCAGCACAGGCAGTATGAGACAAACAAAGAGCTTTTTGAACATTAAAGCATGGAGACATGTGACAGTAGAGGAACTAAATACTAATATTACTTTCACTTTTGGTACTTAAAGTATATTTTAGGTATTACTTGTACATTGTAGTATTGCTACCATTACTTTACCTGTGCCTGAAAACATGTCATGTCAGAGATGTATCCAAAACTAGAAGAACAAAGGAATGATGTGTGGAAGCTGAAGCAGATTAACACCAGCTAATTGATTTAATCTGAATATGGGGGGCTGAGAGTTTTTCTCATGTACAGTGAGATATGCTTTTTTGATTTATGATAAAATCACAAGAGAACATTTTCTGCATTTTGAATTTGTGCTTCTTTCTGTTTCTGGTGCTGTTGGAATATTTATTGTCTTGTTTTTTTTCTCAAAATGGCCTCTCAAATTGACATCTCAAGATCTTATGAAAAATGCATAGACGAGCAGGTGCAGAGGTTTCTTTATTTTCTGTGCGGGTTAACAAATTAGACGCCACATGCCTCAGGTCACATAACACCATCCCCTATAGATCAGAGGGCAAACAACTGCTATAACTGCTTTACAAAGGGTTTCCTCTGCATTTCATCCTGCAGTGTTTCAATTACCACACAGCATAACTGCACCATCCAAACCAATTAGCTGAACAAATATTAATGAGAAACAACCTAAATGTAATTTCAAACATTAGCTTCTACACCACAGCTACAAGTTTTAATATTCCACTTGAGACTAATATGGAAGCAAAGCATGTTTAATATGCTTAAATTCTGCATGCATTTTTGGATGATTATACATGCAAAGGAAAATCAACCTTGTGGGGTTAAGCAAACGGGAGAGGGGGGATCGAGGGTGGGGGGATATGGAGAGAGGGCGGGAGGAGAAAAATTGCACAGCTATTGTAAGCATTGACCTAGATAGAACCGACAACAGATTCCACGGATTTGATGTCCTGAAGGGGTTTCACTGGTTTATATACAGGGCTGTGAGATGGGCAACCAGCAATCTATAAAGAGAGGGTGTGTGTGTGTGTGTGTGTGTGTGTGTGTGTGTGTGTGTGTGTGTGTGTGTGTGTGTGTGTGTGTGTGTGTGTGTGTGTGTATAAGCCGGCAGCCATGCATGCATGCCAGCGTGTGAGACAATTGGAAGGAGGAAGAGGTTCAGAGGGCCAGATGCAGAAACTGTTTTTAATCATTGCTTAATTATTTATCCCTGGTTCTTTTTTTTTCGCACAGAAAAGAGAGATTATTCTTTATTTTGTTTATTTTTCACATTTCAGTGTTGGATATGAATGCTTGTTATTTTGTACATTTTGATCCAAACCACTATATATAGACCAGAAATGGCTGGAAAAGGTAAAAACCCAGAAAAAACACAAATGACCAAGCAGCCACAACAACTAAAACACTCCAAAGCTGTCAACGTGTTTTATTGTAAATGTTTAATCTTGTGGCTGCACTGTAGAAATGTTTTTGTTGATTCAACGGGGAAAAAAACAGCAGCTCTGGTTGCCAAAATAATTCTGTATAAACTCCATGACTTCAGACAACTAAGTGTTTATTTTACGCTCTAAATCCGGTAAACATAGCAGTGTGAGCAGAACCCGAAAAAATACATTCGAGAAATAGCTTTCCAATGAATAACACCATATCTGAAAAAGGTAAAAACCTTTTAAACAACATATTACGGAGCAGCAACAACAGCAAAAATCCTCCAAAGCTGACATGTGATATTGCAAATGTCTTATTTTGCGTCTACACTGTAGAAATATGATCTTACTTTGTGCGTAAAAAAAATGGTTGCCAAATCCTCCAAAGCTATGTATTCTGTTTATTCATTTCAAGCTCTAAAAGTGTTTTAATTTACCCAAAAAATACATTTTGAACCAGTAAATATAACAGTGTGAGATCAGACCACTATAAATATATTACCAATAAATAACACCATATCTGTAAAAGGTAAAAACCCTTTGAAACACATCATAGAAAACAAAGCAACAACAACAACAAAGAATCCTCTAAAGCTGTCCACTCTCCTCCCTTCCTGCTTCTCCATTTTGATTCTGTACTGGTCCTCTGAAATCTCACTGTGGGATCCATCTTGAGTGAGACAAAATGGTATTTCACTCCAGCCGCTGTGAGCTGCTGCTGCAATTTTCTCCTCAAGCACCTCCATGCTCCTGCGATGCCTTTTAAGACATCAGAGCTCTGGTTATTGTGTTATGACAGAATGAAGTGCAGACAGAGCGGACGCTACAGTCGGGGAGGGGATTCAAAACGGATTGAATTGTGTTTTATTGTATTTCTTCTCCGCGACCCGCTCCCTTTAAATCCACTGCTTTGTCTTTAACTCGCTTCAGCACTCAGGTGTTAGTCCCTCCTCCAACGCCAATTTACCAAGTAAGAAACCGCAGTGTCGGAAAAACACTACAATCTAAGAATCAAAGTAACTGTACAAGTATATTTGTTACAATGAAACGCTATCTAATCATTATGAAATACAACGCGAATAAACACAATTAAAAAAAATCAGTAAGATGTTTTTTTTTTACTTAAAGAGGTTTTATTCAGATTATCTGAGCTGTTCTCTTCCCTGAAGTGTGTTCTATTGGTTTGTGTGCATGTAAATGGTCTGCAAAGGCAAAAATCCCTGTGTTTACTTCCTGGGCATAGTGACATCACTATGTAACACTTGCGCTTCTATTGGCCAGCTCCGAGGCTCAGAGACGGTACAACTCCAAGCGGTTGACCAATCACAATCAGAGCAGACTGGGCTCTGGTTTCAGACAGAGGGTGAAAAGAGGTGCTGCAGCACAAATGAGACAAATAAAGGGCTTTTTGAACATTAAAGCATGGAGACATGTCACAGTCAAATTCAGGCAGTACGTTTACCATATATTGATGTTTATTTTCAAATGTATTGTAACAGCTAGTGTCTGGTAGTGTCTGGTAGTGTAGTGCATTAACTGCTGTGGATTAATTAAGGCAGTAATTGAGGCCTCAGTCCCCAGGTGCATTCAATATCCTCTGGACGGAGATTTCTGTGTTATTGTCAGAAAGTGGAGCCTCTCTTCTCTCCATTCATTCACAGGCACTGCTACTGTAAAGTGAAAAAGGGCTCCACTCCACCACACACACTTTATCTAATCATCCCCACTTTGCACGAGACAGAATCTAATGCGAGCGGCGGGCTCTCACTCTCAGCAGGCTAAATAAGCCTCGACGTACAGATGAGCTAGTGTCACAGCGTCCTCACTGCCAACGCGCTCTGAAGTCGCTGCGATTTGAAACTAGAGCCGAGCTCAGAGTGAAATAGTTATAAACCGTGTACAATTTGTTTATTCCAATTGCACATGCAAAAGAAACAGCTGGAGGCGATAAGACAGCAAGTGGTTCATATTTGTGGGATAATATGATAAATAAACCAGATTTTTAGCATCTGTAGCACTTAAAAAGAAAGACTGTGGCGTGATGAATCTAAAAATGGTTCACAGTGCAAACAGAATACAGATTAATTATGAGGCCCTATGATTGGCTCAATGAGGCCTTTACGCAAACATTTAGCACAAAAAAACTTGCTTATACTTCTTGCTTCAATCATGCTATTGCTCTTATCATTGCTGACATATTTCAAATGTGGATTCATTCGCCCCGCCCCCCTGGAAGTCAGCTATTTAAAAC